TTACTTGCATTTGTATACAAAAACATTTGTGGCGTTTATGGAGACGTGTCGTATGTCCGCAAATTCCAGAGTTTGTTCAGTTAATTCCGGTCAGGCGATGTTGATTTCTCATGTGGCCACTGCTTGGGAAGACCGATAGAGTTGGACAGCGATCTCCTGAAGTCGGAGGTTGAGGCAGACCCCGTCAAACCATCCAATAATTGGCTTAAAACCTTACTCAACTTCCAGGCCAGGTAGTTTTCTTCGCACACTTACTATTTTGATATCGCGAAGGAGAAAAATTATTTATCAAGCAGTTTAATGACGATTTCAATTAGGTTGTTGCTACGTTACCTGCAAACATTGCATGAAAAAGACTGTAAATTGTATGCTGATAAATCATATGGTACACCATCCCCAGGCGTGCAAAGTGGAGAACTTTTTTGGGCCACCCGGTATTAGCATTAGCACAAATGTAACATTGCATAGTTGGAGATGTGAAAGTGGAACTAACCCTTATTTCGTGAACTTCTTGCATTAGTTAGACATTTGAATGTATTATCAAATATACGTAAAAGCTTAAATTTGTCAACTTATTTTTAAAAGTGTAATATAAGAAAGTGCAAAATAGGTCCTCCTGCAGCTGGATTTTATAGATAATCAATACAATATCAAGTACGCTATGAAATAATTTACGTCATAGAAATCACACAGTTAAACCAGTTTCCAAAGAAGGCCATATCAAAGAGTCGCAACCGAATAACATTAGAGAATTCATGAAATGTTCATACATGACATTAAGAAAAGGAAACCTTCGTCATGCAATGCTTTTTAACGTCATAAGATGGAAATTTATTTTCTGGCCCCCCGCATCGTGGACATGAGGGCAAAATTCGCTAAAATGACAAAAAATGGGATAATTCATTTTCATGTTGGACATTTAGGAATGAAAATAAGATAATGTGGTGGTGACATTCTAAAAAAAATTGTATATTTTGAAAATATATGCAATTAAGTTTTCATGAAACCCTTATTTTCCTGGTAATCATTATTTTCTGCTCTTTCAGACCAATCATGTGAGCCATTACCTGCATTTCTAGCTGACGTATTTTGAGGGTTCGCCATAAGCGTCACACGTGCCTGAAAACCGATATTTGTGTTTCCTTTGCCGACGAAAACAAAACATTTCGGATTTTGGACATTAATATTAGACCTATCAACTCCGAAGATGTTAAATAGTTTTGGAGGTGGTCGAGCGTCTTCCCCTGTCAGTTGGCACACAATTTCCAATTCTGAACGAAGATAATTAACGTTTAAGTCGGTGGTCTTTTTTGTCATACCATGCATTCAGGTTTGCGTAACAATTAACACCCAGTGCACAAGCATTGAAACTCACTAGCTTAATAAAATGAATTCAGGTTTTTATCAATTGTGATATACTTTATCTTGGAAGAAATATTCATTGTGTTACATTTATTGCACAACACAGGAGCTCGTTTTTTCCATCATGTTGTCGAAGACATTTACCACAGAACGACTGTTGCAAATGAAACTAATGGGAGGTGCTTTTCCTTGCGCCTTCATGCTGGCTCTTATTTTCATCGGTCAATACGCCCGACATTCTGTTTCTGAACATACATGTGCATTCCAAGATATTTTATGGCAACATCTGGATAGTGATTACACTGAAAATGGATTACATGATGATAGGAAAGTTCCTGGGAGTAATTTCAGACCGACATATTCTCGTGATCAGAACAGGCGAACTTTGCCGCGAGGGGCTCCGGCGATTGATTCAACTTTAAGAAAATCGCTTAATGTAAAATTTGTATGCGAAATATTGCCTGTGGACGCAGGAGGTCTCATAATGGAATTCGATTGGATTACAAATATTATTCTTGGTGGCATTGCCAGACCCATACGAATTCTTGAAATGCATGAGAACCTGGATGATATGTTGACCGTGTTTTTATTCAATCCTCCCAGTAACGATTACTTCACGAAATTGGAGAGAGATGGCTTCGTGAATCAAGGAGCTTTCCATATGGGAGATGAAACCATGCAAGATAATATTACGTACTACCCAAAAGTTTCTTATGTGCTTCGAAACTATTACAACTCGCTCATTTTGCAACAACACCCTAATGTAAAGTTCGTACCATTAGGTGTGAAGTCTGGATTTGGAACCATCAATGCTTCTATCTTGATGCCTTCATCACTCCGCAAACACCATGTAAATTTTATCTGATCTCTTAGAGCAAATCGACAAGAAATGATTTACCTAATTAAAAAGCACGGTATCCAAGGAATTTTTTCATACAGTCATGCCTGGGTTTCCAAGGATGGATTGCATCCAATCGAGTATCGGAATATATTGCGAGACAGCATATTCACCTTGGCTCCGTGGAGAAACAACCCTGAGTCATTGAGAATATACGAAGCGCTGGAAGTTGGCTCAATTCCATTATTTCAACGCTGTCACGACTCTAGAAATCCTCTAAATGATTATCATCAAATTCCAATCCCACAATTTGAAAATTGGGAATTCGCAGCTTTCTATATTAAAGAAATGTTGACTAAAGTGGAAGAGCTTGACAGACTACAGAGGGAGATAATGCTATCATGGATTGATTACAAACATAAAATACAGGATACAATTAAGGTTTTTGATTGACAAATCCTTTCGAGATGCACACGGTTATGACTGCTAAAGATACTAGCTTCTGGTAATTGAAATAAAAGTCATAGGTTGCCTAATTAATGCAATCATGTAATGAAATCATACTGCAGCTCCCATACTTACATGCTGTCCAAGAATGACCCAACATATGTCTCGTTTGGACTTGGATTTCAGACTGAAGCACGCAGTCATTCACTTGTATCATGGAAGCACCAACGCCATGTGGAAAAATGTCATTCGTCCAAAACCAAGTTGAACATGCGACGAGTTCGGTAGACGATGTTCCTCTTGTTAATATCGTTACCAATATTGTGAGTTATGAAGTGTCATGAACTGGCTTCATCCGATGGTAAACATTGTTGATGCACTAATTTGCCAAGCAACACAGCACGCTGTAACGCTTCTGAAATGTTGCCTATGTCGCTCTATGTTGCAGTTGATGTACAATATTGATGCAACATTGCTTCAACTTTTTCACTTGGAATGCTGCTGCGACATTTCTATAAATGTTATAGGAATATTGGATATGAAGATGGACAGAATGTTGACACTCTTGACATTAATCACTTATCTGCAATATTCTGATACAACACGGACTTTGAAGTTTTAGGGAATTGTAAAGTTGTCCTACTTGCCAAGAGATGGAGGTGTAGGTCTCGCTTTTCGAACAGTACACAAAAGTGCCCTTCACCATTTCCTTGGCACCGTCCAGCACATGAATCAAGATTCGTTTTAATTTTAAAGTTTCATTTAGGGAAAAACAATGTTATTAGAGAGGCAAGTGTTTCACGTGAATGGCATTTTCCCCCATACTACTGTGCTAGGGCGAAATGGTGCAACTTAATGTGAGAACATACCCGATCTCCCCCCGCTAAATGTCAACGATATCGCTGACAGCCAAATCACGCTTTCAATGAATCCAACCTGGCAGGAAGTGGATCTCCGACCACCTCCGACATGGATACGCATTCCCTTATGATCCCGAGTCCCTTTGTGAAAGGAGTTTGAAATCTTGGTTGGATCATGACATTTTTTAAATTCAGTAATACGTTGGCGAGTAAATTATTAAATCCTAGGTTGAAAACGGAGCAGAGCTTTGCTTTCAAATGAATTTAGGCAATTTGTCCCAAATTCGACTGGATGCGTGGAGAAGTGAACCTCTCGGTTAAGTCCGAGTTCGGACAATTGGCCGAAAACCGACCGTGTGCGTTGAATGAAACTCCCCAGTCTCGACCGAACTCAGACTTTAGAAATTCGTCTATATCTATATAAACGCATCCAAGTGTCAGTTCAATTAGAGATCAAAGTTTCAACCAGAATCAGAGTTAATGAAAATCTCAGCCCTCTAATAAATTGCAGTCGTGGGCCACAATTTCAAATTCATAGGTGTTCATCATCAGTTGCTCCAGAGTAGGCTGGGGGAAAACTTCCTGGTGAACGAAAATTTGAAGTTGCCTAAAGAAGTCCTTAACATGTCACGAAGTGTTTTTATTACGAGAAATGGCTTTTAACACTACCACAAAAAATAATCAGAAGCGATTTTAGTGGATAAAATTTCATTCCCAAAGAACGCTGAAGAAAAGTATGAACTCTTTGTCCCAAGGTACAAGTGGAAGCATAATAAAATCGCAATGTCATTATACAGTAAAGAGCCGCGCTTAAAATACAATACATGAAGCATGAAAGGGAAATGGATGCAATGTACAATAGGGAATCCACGAAAAAGAACCTGATGAGAGCAAAAAAAAGAAGGAAAAAAGAACAGAAGGTTACATGAAATGGACCAGGAATTCTGAACTTTTCCCGCGCGGGTACAGAATATAGGAAAGAAAACTCTCGATACTGGTTTCCAATGTCTTCCTAAGAAATGGATTCCGAGAAGAATGACTATTCCTTGAGAGAGTTTCCCCAACTCCTGCAGTCAAGGAATTTGGGAGCTGAAACACCACCACCTCTGATGCAAACTGGAATATGACCCAAATCGCCAGTGTCCTTAAGTGGCTGTACACGTACTCTTTCCTGAAAGTCATACATATTTCTTTCATGCGTGATATATCTAGGTATCGTTATGACGAAAGGGAGAGTGAGATGCCAATAAAAGCAATACCGAATTTTTCGTCAGTTTCATATGGCGCCGAGCAAGCTCCTCTGTCTCAGTAATGTCTTAGGGAAGCGGTATGATTCCTGAAATCAGTATAAATAAATAACTATAAATAATATGTGTATTCAAGTCACTTAGGGAAGCAAAATCATAATTTCTCAAACTTAAGAAGTTTTGTAAAATTGCAAGCTAATTGCTGTCATTGTACATTTGTCTGTCCAAATTTGCAAATACATGCAAATGATACAGTAATTTTATTTTAACAAAGGAAATGTTATATTTACTCATTCTGTTTAGCTTTTTTCAGATAGGTTCGTTCTGCGCTCTAAAAATACGCAGTTGTCCGTGCCTGGATCTTCCTCTTTCCTTGAAGAACTATAATCTGATTTCCACCCCTTCAGGCTCACTGTGCATGAATTTCTTATGCATATAGAACCATGTTAGTAAAGTACCAGTGTAGAGATGGAAATTTCGTACGGATTTCAGGATTTGCTCCTAAAGTTATTTTTCACTTTCGTCCCTGTCTCCCTATCATCTTGTCTTAACTCATGTCCTCGTAATTTTGCACGTCTGGGTTCTGACATCACGCAGGGGCGTATCCACCAATGAGCGCTCAGAAGGAGGAGGGGGAGTTTCTTCTCTGTGTTCGCAGGCAGAAACAATGTACCAAGACTGCGCATTTTCCAGTTTTTCTTCATCCAGCACGACGACCACATTGTCTTGCTCTGCCATGGAGAAAAGCAACACCGCTACTGCCAGTGGAAACGGTCCTATCAAGGACCGCAACGGCCCTTTTCAGGGCCACAACGGCCCTTCTAAGGGCCACGACGTTTCGACATCGTCAAATGTGCAACCACAACTTCAGCATGAATCAAGTTCAAGCGGTTATTTTTCTGTCATTAATTTATGCACATTTCATGATACATCTCAATCGAATTATTTCTAAAATGACTCTTTCAACTCACTACTTGTTTCGAGGAAGTAAATATGTAACTTTATTTGGTATGCATGCAGTTAGCAACCTAAATAAATGGAACATGAGAGGACGGCGCGGTAAAGTTTAGTGAACTATTAATCCGATCAAGATGAATAACCCTTCCATTTCTTAGTAAATTCACGTCTTTTCGAGTTTTGTTAGTTATGAATAGCTTCATTTATAGAAACGCACTGAATTAAACCTCGGAAAATGCAATCAATACAGCCCCAGACCGAAGAGTTACTGTGGATCTGATAGCTCATCTAAAGGTGACTTTCATTCAAAATAGGGCGCGACTCTGATAAAACAAGATTAAGAAAATTTAAAAGAAAATAAGTAAACATGTATGAGGGGACAGCTTTAGGAATTTCACTGTATGCTAAAAATTCACTGCAACCGTGCATTAATAATTGCACGAAAACATGTGCATTTACGTACAGTCCAAGTCGCGCTTATCCCTTGAAAGAATGCCTTCTTGATTTGACAAATACTCAGATTCGAACCATTTGCGTGTGATTTCCAGTATGACATACACTCTGATTAAATTAGTTCAAAATAAGTTGCGATTATTTTCAGGGTGTGAAGTCTTTGAAATGAGTGAAAGGTACGTTTACTTTTTGCCATCTGGAGAATATGTGTATCTGATGATCAGCAAGAATCAAACTGATCCAGGTAAGCGTCTCACGATGAAAACCAACCGCAAGAGGTCTTGTCCTGCAATCCGAAGAGTGAGACCGCATCAGAATCCCAAATTTGTCGAGGTGAGAAACTTATCATTTCTGAAAGCAGATAAGAAAAATTTCGGCCGTAGATTGCGTCTCTTTAGTGATTTAGCAACGTTGATTCACGAAGGCTAATTAGTAACCAATCAGGGTCGGCCTTGAATGCATATATGTACATTATCAACATGAGATTCCAGAGAAAAAGGAAATAACTGTTGTAGAGTAAACTGCATTCCTCAAATTCACATCATTTTAGTCTCCCTTGCTGCAATGAATATTTCCCTAGTTTGACTTCGAGGGGACCGAAACTTCTGTTGCACTGCCATTGAGATGCATACTTGGGAGGAATAAGTTGACTGGAAACATCGTGAAGGAATATCGAAAAAGGAACAGCCGCAAGGATTTTGTGGAGAGTGCAAATCGATGGATCTTGCATTGTCGCCAGGGAGACGGAGGACCATCGAGGCAAGTTAACTTGAATGACACTTGATGAAACTCCTCAATCTCTCTTTTTT